AATAGGTTTTTCAAGAATCTCCTATTGGTTACTTGTTTATTTAATTCTGGTTAAAGCATAGATTTATGTATTCAGTGAAGGGTGGTTTTTTCCCCCCAGAAAAAGCTTGACTATTATCAGTGCAGTGTTGCTGGATATTGTGGCCTTGACTTTTCAAGAGTGCTGCATGTGATTAATAGCATTTCTTTTTTATTTCCAAGGCTAAATTGTTAACAGAATATTTTGACGTCCTCAAAATGTAAACAAGGTGGTTTCTTTTCTGTAGAACTGGACTAACTTTGATATAGTATATAGTAATTCCAGAGGATTGTTCCTACTAAGCATTTGGCATGTTCTAAATTATTTCATTATTTTTTCTGTTGTATATCTTTCAAATTTAGAGCATTTGTATTCAGCATGTTATATGTTACTTTTTGCGGGCATCTTCCTTCTTAAGCAACATGTAAAACAGAAAAAATGTTTAAATAATCTTAATCTATGAGGATAATAAGAAGTGCTGGAATCTAGTGCCATAGTTACCAGTACCCTCCCTAACGTTGTTGCAATGTATAGTGTGCTAGTTACAGCATCATTGTGCTCTGGAGGGTGTCTTGAGGAGAGTGTTGGCAACCATGACTGGATGGCTGAGTTCAGTGATCTTTTGCTTTATGGCAATTCTTTTTACAAATGAATGAACAAAATATATTTTCTTGATATAATCTTTATGTGTAATTTTCATTTGAAATTAAACAGCTGCATTATTTTCTCATATATAATCAGCAGCAAAGTTGGAAGGTGGAGTTTTTGAACTTCCTGTTGATCTTTAAGCCCAAATTCATATAGCTAATGCTAAAGAGGTAAAGACTTAGGTAGCCTATGACACCTGAGAAAGTTGACAGTATCCTCTGTGGGATGAGCCCAGCCACCTGTAAACTTTCTCCTTGTGATGATTCATATATCCAGAGAGGGCACAAAGACATGAGTTCAGCAGGTGGTGGATGCACCTTTGACAGAGGGGGTCCTGTTGCCTGCTTTGAAGGAGGTGATGGTATATCCCTTCCTCAAAAAATGATTCTTTGGCCTGAACATCTTAGAAAATTATCAGCTAGCCTCCAACCTGCCATTTCTTGGTAAGGTTGTTGAGAAGGTAGTCGGGCTTCAGCTATAGAGGGTCCTGGATGAGACAGATTATCTTTTTCAGTGGTATCAGGCCAGGGCATAGGACAGAAATTGGTTGTTCTTGTGGAAGATTTGCAGCAAGAGTTGTTTTACTAGATCACTTTGTTAGCCTTGTTAGCCTTTAGTAAGGCTCTGAAGTCCTGGCTGTACTCCAGGCTTTTGAGTCAGGCAATTAGGTGGCTCTGGTGTGGTTTTGTTTAACCGGGGCATCATGAGTTTATAGTGTTATGATGGTTTTAATCTTTGTAAACCACCCAAAGTCACTGCTGTAAAATGTTTAAATAAATACACTTGCATGGTATTCTTTTGGACCACCTGCAAAGATTGGGGATTGGAGGCATTGTTTTGCACACACACACCCATGCCACACAAATGGAGGACTAGTAAGATTCTTCCAGGAATTTTGCATTGGACAGATCAAAACTGAATGGAGCAGATAGTTCTGGAGATATCTCAGTGTCAAAGCCAGCACACTGAATTGTACACACATGCTAATAGGAAGCCACTGCAGAGCCTGGCCACAGGTGTTCATGTTGAGCATGGCACCGCATTCTAGACTAATTAAAGCAGCCCCATGTAGAACACATTGCAGTAGTCCAATCAGTGAAGACATGTGATAAGAGGATGAGTCACTGTTGTAAGATCCTCCTGTCTTAGGTAAGGGTCCAACTGGAGGACTAACTGAACAAAGACCCCTCAGTCTTTAGCCTCCCAGCAACAGCCACACATCCAAGAGGACCTCAGGGTTGCACACCTGTTCCTTTGGGGCAGTGCCACCTCATCAAGAGACTCAACTGGAAGAAGCCATTGGGGACACCTGTTACCCCCTGCTCAAGGGGAAAGGTTTTATTCATGTGGCCCACCCCCACATTCCTGATGGACCCAGGGGGTTTCAGAGGGAACTTGGGGTTATTCCTGATGCTCTGGTGCACAATTCAGCTGAGACCCTGGTTGCAGCTTGGAATGAGCATGTGACTGGGACCTTGGATTGGATTGTGCCTGTGTGTTCATGGATCCCGTAGAGTTCCCTGCTTTATAGAGGTGCTGCGAGAGATGAAACAATGCAAGAGACACCTAGAGCACTGCTGGAAAAAGACAGAGTGAATCTGATCAAACACAGGGGCGTGGGGGGAGGAAAGGTCCCTAGGCCTCTTTTATGTGGTACCTCAGGGCTCAGTACTTTCACCCCTCCTATTCAACATCTAAATGAAGCTGCTGAGTGAGGTCATCTGGCAGTATTATTGCTCTCTTGATAATACTTAATTATACATCTCTGCTCAGGCTGGACAAGTGATGCTGTTCAGGTGCTTGCCCAGTGCCTAGAGGCTGTGAGGGTCTGGATAGGGAGGAACCAGCTGTGACTTAACCCTAACCAGAGGGAGTGGCTGTGGGTTTTTGGATTCCCTGGATCTGGAGAGTAGCACTCCCCCAGTCAGAGTTGGTGTGCAATTTGGAGGTCTTCCTGAACTTGCATCTGCTGCTCAATGAACAGGTGACAGCCATGGCTGGATTCATCTTGTGTGTCAGTTGTGCTCATTCCTGGACTGGGAGGCCCTGCTCATGGCCACTCAGCTTTTCAAAAAGGAAATTGGGGAGGAGTGGTATTCAGTCCCTTCAGTTTGACCTTTTACAGTTTCTTTAGCTGTTTCATGTTTCAATCTTCTACTGGATATCTTAGAGACTGACTTTCCTCAGTATTTTCCACCTATTCTACCCAGACAACTATGCAGTTCCTGCTGAGTGTCTCCTCTACCAGGAGGTGTGGCAAAAGAGGGCCCAAGAGCAAGCATTCTCTGTAGCAGCCTCCTTCCTCTGGAATAGCTTGCCCCCTGAAACATCTATGGCCCCCACCATCATGGCCTTCTAGAAGCTGATGAAAACATGGCTCTTCCTGACCTATCATGATGCCACTTCTTAATTTTCTAACTTTTAGTTTTGTATTTTATTCTTAATTTAATTTTGGATTTATATCTTATTTTTAACACTTAATTTCTATAAAGCTGCCTAGAGTCTGCCTAATTTTAGGCAGTTAGATAAATTTTACAAATCAGTAAGTAAGTAAATAAATACTATTCTTTTATTGTTGATTTTAATTTAGTTTATTATATACTCCCTTGGGAACATTTTACAGAAAAACAATATAGAAATAGTATAAAATTGATAATGCATCTCCCCAGAATTCCACTAGTTTATCTAGGTTCTTTTTACCTATTTTTAGTGATGAAGAGCTTGCTCAGTATCTCCTGCAGCTCGTGCAGGTACTGAAATATGAAGCTTTTCTCGACTGTGCCCTCTCCAGATTCCTGTTAGAAAAAGCCATGGCAAACAGAAGGATAGGACAAATGTTGTTTTGGCATTTGAGGTAAGACTTAAAATTACTGTTATACAACACTCTTGTAGCAAATACATATTTGAGGTTTTTTTCTATTCATTCTACTGTGTTGTGTTTGTTTTATATTATATTTTATATTTTCACTGTTCAGTGAAGTTGGATCAGTGGGTTGTTCAAAAGTAGAGCACATTAAAAAAAAAATTATAATTGTGGTTCCTTTCAAATTACAAGAGAAAATGATTTATTATTATCATAGACCAGTATAAGCAAATTCCAAATAGAAATACAATTCTTGAATACAAACATGTTAATAAGAATCAATAAAAGTGCATGTAAATATAAATATAAATAAATGTAAATATAAATGCATAAGTATAGTCAGCTGGCTAAACTACAACTAAATGGGTGATCAACAGAACCTGACAAGAAATAGCTAAGAGTTATTTGAAGAAATATTTAGTGACATTCAGCAAAATAGTTGGATTGATCTGATAATAACAACTGGAGATAAAAGGAATGAAAGTGCTTGACCACAAATGATAACAACTCTTGCTGAGTGTCAGCATAAAACAAGTAGTACAATACAATATGATCCAGTGTTTCAATTGCTCCTCAATTGCTGGAGCCGTGTCTCCACTCAAATGGGATGTTCCAGTATTTCCCCTCAGTCACAGCTGTTGGGAGGGCATTGAAACTGCTAAAGATAAAGCCCTTCTGAATTTGAGGATTGTTATCCTAAATACCTAGCAGGGTAGAATAGATGAGTAGAGTAAGTCAGAAACATGTTTCTAGGCAAAATTGACAGGTCTGTTTGTATCTCCATGCCATGGCATGCTACTTAAGGTTGGCAAATGCTCATTCATAGCTCATCTGGGAGATTGTGGTCCATGAAAAGCTGGAAGATTTTAATTTCTTGTGAAATTCCTGGCTCCAGAAAAAAAATCAGTTGCTAAGCAATATTGGAGAAGTCAGACTGGCTGGGAGAAAAAGTAGCTTAAATCAGTAAGAAAAGATATGAATCCAAGCTGGCTTCATGGGGCAGGACTACATTAGGAATGCAGTGTGGAACTTGGAAGATGGAACTTAAAAATTGTCTTTGTACCAAGGGGAACTTGTAAGGGCCCTACTAAACTCTGAAAAGGAGTTGAGTACGGACCTTAGCCAAGAAGGCTTTAAGCACTGCAGGTACAAACCGAGCTTCCTTGGAGCCTATCAAACTAACTTTATCTTTGTTAGTCATTATATCTAAAATGTTCTATGGGAAATGCTCATATCTCAGATTCCAAAAAAAATACATCAAGGGAGCCATTAAGGCTCCCTTATCCCACCCCATCCTCAACAATCCAGACTAATTGCTTCTTCTGTACAAATACTAATCACCATTTTTTTAAAGAACAGATACACACATTTTAAAGCTCCTTTAAGCCAGCAGGTTACTTGGGCATGCAGACAAAATGAAGTCTGCCTCTAAAAATGGTGGCACACATTTTAAAAATTTATCTGCTTATGCTTAGATGCTGCTTCAATCAGAAGACAACTCAAAGTACTTTACCTTTCTTTTTGCAGTTGTTAGTTTAAACACAATATCAATCAACACCCCCCCCCCAAATAATAAAGTCATAATCAACCATATCACAGAGTTCATACACTTTCATGTTCATCTGGTACCATATGTCCAGGAGTCACACAGTTCTCCAGACCATCCACAAAAGTTCTTTGGAAGGCCTAGATCTTAACTGCCTTCTTATATGGTAACAGGGATGGGGACGCCCTTATCTCCAGAGGTGTGCTATTCTAAAGGCAAAAGGCGCTACAAAAAGTGTTCTCCCTCATTTTCTAGTGACAACGTTGCGCAGATACCTGGGCAAACCCCCCCCAAAACAAATGGATTCATCCTGTCTGCAGAACGCAATGGCTGGTCAGCTGTACAGAAACCAAAGAGTGATCTTATCCTGACAAGGGACTGGTATTAATGTCCCCCACCCTCCATTCATGCCTTATCTGCCCTGAGATAAAAGCCAGATCTAATATGCGGCCTTTCATATAATTCAGGCCCATGATGATAAATTTTTGCATAATTTGAACTTCAGCATGTATTGAATTTGGCAGGCAGTTGGTCTCCATATATTCCAAAGAGATCATATCACACTAGGGATAAATTTATCTCTTGGTTGCTAACTAATATATAGCTACAGTGAAACATAGAGATTGATTACAAAGGCATAAAGAATCCAGGAAACTTTTATACAGTCCCCACTAGTTATGTGGATCGTATTAATCTAATTATTATGGGCTTGTCAGGTAAGGTAAACTCATTTTTATAGTTATAAAATATAACTTATGTTTTATAAACTGCCTGGAGACCTTTGGTATTTTGCAGTATATAGAAGATTAAATAAATGTTATTTTGAATATTAGTCAAGTTCTATCTGTATGGTTTTTCCATATATTGATTTTTTTCAAGTATATCTTTGGAAGCAGAACTGTGTAGTTTCCTTAGGTAGTTTTCTCTGTAATTTATGAGGTATTTCATTAAAGATGTGCATATTTCTTTTTTCCCTTGTCTCTTGTCATGTTGATTCAGTTCTGTTCTTCAAAGGAAGCAAGGGAGCTTGGGGAAAGCTCTGCTTACCTTTTGGAATTAGGGGAATTTTTTATTTACTACTAGAAGTGAGGACCAGTCTTGGATCTACTTATGTCTTACACATTTGTGATAAAGTATATCAGAAGATGCCTTTTTTTCTTTCTCAGTCATAAGAAAGAAGAACACTACAGCAATTTGATATAAGGACTGTGTGTGATTTCCTTCCATACAAGATTGTTTTACATTGTAAGGACTTACTCATTGATCTTTAGACCCAGTTCTTCATCTCCCACTAAATCAGGCATTTCAGGAAGCATTGGCCCAGCAGGGAAAATTGAAGAAGAGGGAGAGAGGATCCTTCTAATTGCTTTTCAAATATTGCTACCCACAGTTACTGGGTCAAAACAGTAACGATCAGGCTTCTAAGCTGCAGTGAATTGGTGCCTTCAGTATGGAGGACAAGCATGCCTTCTTCTCCTTTCCCTATTGTTTCCTAAAGCTGTAGTCCCAAAGGTCATGCTTCCACTCCTTTTGACACTTCCACAATCTAGAGCTCTGGAGGTATGTTGGACTTTCACTCTGTAATTGGAGTGGAGATTATGGTAGCTGAAGCCCAATTCATAAAGAGGTTATCATTTGGGAAAGCTGCTCTAATCAGTGGGCTCAGACCTCTCTTCTCTGTTTGTAATGGAACATTCAAGAGAGGCTCTCCTGATTTTGGCAGAACTCTTCTCAAGTTGACCTTTTGTTTTACCTCAAGAAGATCAAAAACTTGCAGATAAGGCAGAATTTCTTTTTCTCTCATTGTTTCCTCTATTTTGCATCAAGAGATTTTGACCCATCTATGTACACATGTTCCTTTTTAGAGGGTGGAGAATTTAAAAGGCAGAGGACTTGGAGGCTGGGATTCACTTCTGTGCAAAGGGGTTGAGTATTTTATTTATTTATTTTACTGGGTGTATACTTCCCAAGGGTGCATCTCTTTGTTTATTTGTAGAGCAATGACAGTGTAATTCAGGGTTGCACTTGGTTAAATCTACCTTATGATTTAGATATATATATGCCTTTAAAATACATAGTTGTCAATACATATATACATTTCTTGTAGATCAGAAGTGCATATACCTGCAGTCTCTGTGCAGTTTGGTGTGATATTGGAAGCTTATTGCCGTGGGAGCATCACTCATATGAAAGTTCTTTCCAGACAGGTACTACTTATTTTAAATCCTTCCCCTGAGATTATTTATGCAAAGACAATAGATATAAGATGCTTTTGCTAAAGGCCAGACCCTTTTGAACAAGCACCAATCAAAGACACAGTAGTCTTATTACCTGCAATGGGGATAATCAGTAATAACAAGTAATCTGTTGTGAAATGCTGCTGACAATATTCATTGGGAAACTGGCAAAATAATACTTTTGGGGGGGGGGTTCTGTTCACCCCCTGCAATCAGTGTAATTGAATCTGTACCTCACAAAGGAATTATTTAGCCCTGCAGTATAAGAAAATACCTTAATTACATGTTAACGTACTTGAGTAAACTATTAAAAATTAATGGGTATCTTAAATATATTCAGTTTAGTCTTTTGTGGGTTGTGACATTTTCTGTGCACTTTAGAGGAAGTGCATGTCAGCGCAATCAAAGAAGGGGCAAAAAATTCCCAACTGTGCAAACACGGAAGAAATTGAACCTAGAAATACTTCAAAAAGTTCCTGTTTGTCCAGCACAGGTTGATTTTGTTCCTCATATAATGTTTGCACAGCTCCTGGAATTGTGGAAATGCAGGGAACTTTTGGTTTTCACAGATGGCTGACCTGACAAGTCTCTCTTGTCTTCTTTCTATAATCAAACTCTGTACAGCTTCCACAGCATCCTGCCTGGAGTGACTCAGCCTTCTATAAGAAAGTTTAAGCCTTTAAAACATGCTTTACACTAAAATACTTTTTTTCTATATAGAACCTACTAAAAATATAAAAGTATCCATTAAGCAAGACATATATTCCAAGTTTATTAACACTGGTTTAAGTTTCAGATTTATAAAGAAGCTATGATCGCTCTACAGTAACAACTTGTTTTAATACTAAGGGTATCAGCACACTAGATATGAAGAAATTTCTGGCAATTCATGGTTTAAGGTCATAGCCTTGCTTCAGCATTATTTTCCCAGAATTCCAAAGCCAAGGAGATAATAATTTAACAAATTTGGGAGAAACAACAAAGACAAAAATGTGTGTTAGTGGGTCCATATTAATAGTCAATATATGCCAAAAGTAAGGTTGGATTCTGCATCTTTCATCTGAGATTTAAGAGCACAAAGACTGGGAAATGTAAACTAATTACATTGAAGCAGGCAAACATAAATCTAATAAATGAAATTGTCAAATTTTGTATTTTGCGCATCACAATCAACTTCACAATTATTCCATTTCAGCTATGCTCTTGAACAGCTATGCTAGGTACACAGAGTAGACATGCTTGTGCCCTTTAGATCTGTATGTACCAGTATGGAAGTTACTGTTCTGATAACTTTACCCCCAGTTGCTATGTTATTTTTAAAAATATGTCATATGGATGATACCAAAGTCATTCTAATCCATCCAGGATTCTTGATTGCAGCCCAGTTGTTCCAAGAAGCTGCCCAATATTTCTCGTCTCTAAAGTGGTATTGAGTATCCAAGCAATGCTATGGAAGAACTGCAGAATTTCCTGAAAAGCTCTGTAGACTCAAAGATATGTCTATAAGTGTCCTTATGATCTTTAGAGATCTAAATGATTTAAGGCCTTAATCTCTATATTAGTATCTTCAAAAAGACATTTTGAAGATGTTCCTGTTGTTAAAGCCCCTTTTATTGACTACATGGGAGAAAGCTTTCCTGCTTCAATCTAAAACTATGCAGCTCACCAACTTGGAGTCATATTTGGCCATCATCCTCTTTGCTCCTAGAACAGTTGACAGATATTATCAGCCAGATCTTTAAATGTAAATGATAATTTACATTAAAAAACATTAAGTCGCCAATAAAATAAATAAGTAGCCTTGTGGAAAATTCTGTGTGAGTTAGGAGAGGGGAGGTTCTGAGCAAGAACATTACTCCCATTTATTGTGGGTCTTGTCAACTACCTTTGGCACAATGCTATCTGAATATGGAAATTAAACTGATAAGAGAAGGAGATGTGGAGATAGAAAGTTACAAAAGTTAACAGGTATGACTGCCCCAAAGAAACAAACATTCAATCTCACTTCTGTAGTTCTCCTAAAAGTTGTTGCTAATGATTCACCCAGTGGCTGTGCTCAAAATAAGGAGATCCATTATTCTGAAGTGATTGAAAATGAAAGTAATATTACATTTGAAAGGCTGGAATTGGTTTTGCTGCAGCTCAGGGAAAATTGCCTTTAAATTTTAGCAAATATGCAAAACCTTCTCTTTTATATGGTGAAGATAAATATGAGGGAAAAACAAAATGAAATCCCTGCCTTATCAGGACTTTTTTAAAGAAGGTTTTTAACACCCTGAGAGTTAAAAGGAATTTGCTTAGTACTGTAGATTGATTCTAATTACGTTAATTTCAGAAATCATTGCCTGTACTGGTTCATACATCATAAAGTTATTTATGATTTGGTTAAGTGAGATTTGCTGAATAAGTCACAGTAGCCAGAACTAAACAAAGCACACATTAGGGTGATGTCTGAACCCATTCATTCATTCTAGAAACTAATATCTCAAATATCTATTTCAGGTTGAAGCACTGAATAAGATGAAGACTTTGAATAGCTTAATAAAACTGAATGCCATGAAGCAAAGTAAAGCTAAAGGAAAGGATGCGATGCATACCTGTTTAAAACAAAGAGCATATAGAGAGGCCCTTTCCCATCTCCAGTCCCCTCTGAATCCTTCTGTTTTACTTTCAGAACTTTGGTAAGTTGACCTGCTCTCTTTCATCCATGTCTGCTGTGCTGTAGCTGTTAGGAAGGCAGAAAGCTCCTATTTTTTGACTTCTGAGCTCTCTCCCGCTCAGTAGATGTGACAGTGCATAAGGCAACATTTCTACCTGTGACTGACATTCTCTTTTTCTCCAACTTAGCTCTATACGCAAATCGCCGTCATCCTAAGGTTAAGATGTCAGTTCTGATTTGGAGTGAAGATTGGATTAACCTTTAAAATGTTAAATGTTTTATAGCATTTCCAGTAATAATGGCTTAAATTAATAATTGATCTCTAATCATATTATCAAAACATGCACAATAATAGCTTATGTGGCAACTTCTTAAACACAAAACCCAGTAAAATTTGGATCAACTCTATATATAAAGAATGAAATATATTTTCTAAGTAAATATACATCACTTTTTCAGATTTTGGATTTAGTGGCCACTAGATAGACATCCAAGATTTATTTAAGTAGTGTGCCAATTTGCCAGTGTAACTGATATTGTAGCAACAAAATGAAAGTTTTGAAAGGCATTTGTCCAAGTTGTAGAGTTCCATTATGGAATAACCTTCCTTCAGACTTAGTTCTTCCTGATACATTTTTGTGATTCATTAATCTCCTAATTTAACTCACCAAAAATGTTATTATCCTTATTCTAGTATAGAGAAATGTAAATATATGGACTCAAAAATGAAGCCTTTATGGATCGTATACAGTAACAAAGTGTTCGGTGGTGATTTGGTGGGAATCATCTTTAAAAATGGAGATGGTAAGTAAACAGAAAACTTCATTTTCTACTGTTGACATTTTAATGTTAGCTATTATTGTCATAGTATTTTGACCCTGAAGTCTTAAAAAACACAGGTGTAGTGGAACATTACCATTATTTCAGGCAACTTGTATTGAAATGCAGTCTGAGAAATAATACAATTTTTGCAAATCCAAATATGCTTTTTAGGTGCTTGGAAAACTTTCCATGTATATTGCACATTTTTTAGTTTCGATTATTTTATACAATCCTATCTATCAAACTTTGTTACAGATCTACGACAAGACATGTTGACGCTTCAGATGTTACGTTTAATGGATTTACTTTGGAAAGAGGCTGGGCTAGATCTTCGGTAAGAGGGCCTATAGTTGGTGGATTTTCTTCTTAACGCTATTTTTTAGATTATTAGGCTTTGAAGACATACAAAATGTTTCAAAGTTATCTGCACAACTTCAGATAATTTCTAAAAAAATACCTTATTTTATACTTTGTAAGGAATAGAAGTATATATTGTCATTTTTAAAGAACAGATCCTGTGCAAGTATGTTAGTTTAATTTGGCAAATAATGGTTTGCAACAATGCCAGAAATGTTGCATCCTGATTTTAGCTTTATGTAATATGAAATTAATTGCTGCCCTATAGAGAATAATATAAAGAAGCCATTAACCAAGATACTTCAGTTCCTAATAAAATTTCTAGGATGCTTCATTACATACCATAGCATTCTGTTCTTTTTTTTAGCACAGCGTGCCTTGTTGGTGTTCATATCTTTATTTTTGTTGCTGATACTTGATAACTACCTAGACGTCCACCAGCTTGTCATTGCAAGAATATTGATCAGCATTAGAACCTACAGGTAGTCCTCGATTTATGACCACAATTGGGACTCGGACTTCCATCGCCAAGCGATGCAGTCGTTAAGTGAGTCATGCTGGATTTTACACCTTTTTTGCTGCGGTTGTTAAGCAAATTACCATCGTCGTTAAGCAAATCATGCAGTCATTAAGTGAATCTGGCTTCCCCCATTGACTTTGCTTGTCAGAAGCCCTCTGGGAAGGTTGCAAATGGCAATCATATGACCCCAGAACCCTGCAACTGTTGTAAATACATCCTGGTTGCCAAGTGTCTGAATTTTGACCATGAGGAATGCTGTGATGGTCGTAAATGTGAGGACCACTCATAGGTCACTTTTTCACCACCATTGTAAGTCCAAATGGTCATTAAACAAACGGTCGTAAGTCGAGGACTACTTGCACTTTCAGATTCCTGTAAATGTCTGTGACAGAGCCCTTTTGTTTTCATGATAAGAATGAATAACACATTAACACTTTAATGGCTGAAAACTGAAGATGGTAATCCAAATATGTATTGAGATACATGAGGCGTTAGAAATACAAATGCTTTGATGGGACTTGAATCCTGGAATCTTAGTTGTGGTTACATTTGGTTTGAACATAATGTTTGCATGCATCTACCTGCTCTCAAGATTGAGTTATGTCCCTGTTTTTCCAAAGTAATTATTCCTTATTAACCATTCGTTTTGAGTAACATTAATATTTATATTAATTTTTCCTGGCTTAGAAATCAATGCATTTAAAAATATAAAACTCCAAACACACAAATAGAACAGTGAATAAAGCCATTGGAAAAGGGAAAAAATACAAAAGCCAAGGAAAAAAAATGATTCACAAAACTCCAAATGTTCCGTGAAATAGATTTTCCTTTGCTTGACCTCAGAATACCAGTATCAAATAAGCAGGAACAAGGAGTTTCAGAATTTTGGTACCATGGTTAAAAACAAACAAACAAACAAACAAACAAAACTCTATCCTGACTATGCCTCTCCCAAAGACTTTGGTGAATATCTTAAAGAATATATGGGTTGATTTAGGTACCATGAATGTATAATCCAAATTCATCAAGTATTTGTTATTTTTATTTGTTTGTAAAAATGTCTTATCTCACATTTTCATAATTAAAAACAAAATCCCAAATATCATGAAATTCTGCATCCTGTTTACAATACATTTAGATTGCTTTGGGGATAGGTGGGGAAAAATAATTTTTTAATGTAAGAATTTCAGTTTATTTTCCTAACTGGATATGTGCATTATTCTTCACTATAGAATTAAATCTAAAAATCCCTGTTGCCATTAATCTCTACAGTCATGGAACAAATAAGGTTTGGTGATTGTGTTGTTTAGGGATTTTTAGGAATAAAAGGCCAGTAATTTCATTTTGTCTGCTTCACAAAATAATAATTTCCTAACTTGGGTGCTTCCCAATTCACCACAGTACTTGTTCTGGCAAAACATCTTAAGTGTCGGGGACCACGTAGTGCAGGGTGCTCAGTTGGGGAAGGCTGTCTTACCTTTTCAGTACAGTATTTATCTTGTTCTTTTATTCTGATACGAAGTGCACTCAGACACCAGTGAAATAGCCTGAATTTTGGTGACTTTAAGGCAATCATGGAGATGGACAGAATAAAAGAAATATTAAGCTAATCTTCCCCTAATCAGTTGGTATAAGGATGCAACTTATGCTAGATCTTGGAAAGCCAGAAGGTTTTATACCACTTTAGTGCCTTGACCATTGTAATACAAAGATATAATGTTGCATTATTATAACTCCCTGCACATCAGACTAGATGCAACCAACAAGAGGATTATTTACTTCTAGTTTCTCCATGTACAAGCTGTTATCATTGAATAGCTGGTTTTCTATGGATGTAGCATAAATAAATATATTGCTGGAAAGAGCTTTAGTTACTTTCTTCACCTCTGCCCCCTCATTTATGTTCTGGAAGGCCAGACTTAAACTTCTGTTGTTGAATTTTAGCAAATAAGTTGAACTGAACTGTCAGTGCTATAATATTGTGATGTGCAGCATGAAACATGAGATACCTAATATTGCACATAGACTTCCTGAAATAACTTTTTACTACACTCTACCTTGTGGTATAAATCATCTAATCCTAGCAGTCTGGAAGATTGTGGGTTTAACTGTCAGTCCCAGTCTTCCTCTACAACCATTCAAATCCTTACTTAAATCATCAACCATCATTTTAAAATAAAGGTGTGTTTTTTTTTCTGTTGAGGATCATATTAACTCCTGCTAGAATACCAAAAACGACAACAGAATAATTGACATTTTGTGATGCCATTTTGGAGATGGGAGTGTGATGTAGCTCATGTATCTCAATTTCCAGGATGTCAGTAAGTTAGTTATAAATAAATAAATAAATAAATAGAAGTGAATTAATTAACTACTATTAGCAAGGAGAAAGAATGAAAGGCCTACTTATTGATATCTTTACTAATGATCTTAAAATAGTACTGATTGCATTATTCATATATCTTTCAGCATGACAACATTGACCACACTGTTCATTTTATTATCCAGTTCGATTTCTAAGTGCCACTCTTTAAGGAGCTCCTGTGCTTGCCCTGCATCTTGTGTTTTTCTCATTGGGCCATTTACTCTCTCTCTCTCTCAGCCCAATTCACCTCTCACTGGGTTGTTATTGTGGGGAAAATAGGAGACAGGAGTGTTAGGTATGTTCACTGCCTTGAGTTATATATAAAGAAGGCGGAAATAATATTAACAAGAAGAGCAACAACTTCATAAGATTCTAATTTTCTTTCTTTGTTAATGCTTAATATATTAGTCTGTATTTAAATATGCAGTTCTGTAACACTTGAAATGCTAATTGCTTTTTCCCAACAGTGGATTTAGAAGAAACAGAAAAATCATTTTTTAATGACAGAAATTGTATTCCTAACACACCAGATGGTAATATGGAGCTCATCTCTTAAATATTTTTAGTTTAACAAATAGAATGAACTTCAGGCACATGGCAATCACTCACACAGATAAGAGCAATATTTATCAACAAGCGACTCAGCAATGAAATAAGCTATTCATGAGAAAATTCTCTATAATTGTGCCTCTGATATCAGAATAAATTAAATACAAAAGATTCATCTAGAAACTATATTACTCAGAGAAAACGTATGTTTATGCGCTCTGAAGTCAGATACTGATTTTGGAAAGAAGGGGGGAAAAAACACACATATTTTGGTTATATATGTTATCATAGTAATTGAAAGTTAGGCATTCTTTTTGCAATTTAGTCTGCCACAGCCATAGAAATGAGCCCAGTAAAGAAGCAAACAGCAGCAGCGAATTCATTTCAACAGAGCCTGTGGGCAACATGAAAAAAACAAATACACTTCTGTGCCCGCAAACCTCAACAGGTGAATAATATAGCATGATTTTGTCAATGTCATGACAATATCCATAATGTAGACCCATTGCACTGTACAAAGCATTTGAATGATCAGTGAAAAAAGTGCATAGCATATAAATACTCTAAATATAATAAAGAAAGCACAACACAAAACTTACAGGAACAACATTATATTACAACTCATGAATTCTTATTCCTCATAGCAAAGAAATTTGTCTACAAGGCAAACAATTGCCTTTTTCTTACATTCAGAATAATTCTCAGTCTCTGAACGTGTGCTTAGTTGACTCTTCCTCACCTCTGTTCCATCCTTCCTTCAACTAATTTCACTCCAGCAGGGATGGATCTTGTGTTGGTGTTTTAATGATCAAATGTTTTTCCAAGTCTCCATAGCTTGGGAGAATTCTAAATAAAGCAAGCCAATCATAGAACATTGGAATACTTCAAAAAAACTGAAAAGAAATAGCAGTTTTTTCCTAGATTGGGACAAGTATGGAGTGTTTGTTTCAAGCTTAGGAAACAGGGCATTCTGCTTGAGCTTAAAACATTCAAAACAGCATATATCTGTTCCCATATATACAGAGCGCTGTGTAGGTTGTTGAATATATGCTTACTATTTTAGTGAATGAATGAAGGGGGGGGGTATGTAAAGTTACATGAGAAGAGAAAGTATGTGTGTCTTTTATGAAGAACTATTTAGAAGATTGAATAACAGTGTAAATGGAAATTGTATGTGAGGAAATAAAATATAGAAGCTCTTTGAACAGTGTGAATGAAAAAATTACAATTTGTTAGTTTGCTAAGTGGGCCTGAGAAGGTGTTTGACAGAATTCTGATTAAAATTGCAACAATGAGCAGGATTGGGGAAATGCAATGTAGCTTTATGCTGAGCAGAGGGTGTGCAAGCCAGATTTTTGCCCTTTAGCACATCACTGAGAAAACATGAATGTGAGAAATTATTTTATGTTTCTTGATTGAGAGAAAGTATATGATTAAGTGAATAGACTGGAACTATGGAATGTTCTGCACACAAGAAACAGAAGGTTGGCTATGTGTGGAAAGAACCAAAATGGTTTTGTGTAAAAATGTGCTTCTGCCTATTTTGTTATATGGAAGTGAGAGTTGGGTATGTTAAGAGAGAGAGAAAAGTAAGCTTGAATGCACTGGGAATGAATTATATAAGTGTGTGTGGTGAAACTAAAAGAATAAATGGGTTGCTGAATGAATGTGGAAGTATGAGGAGTACAAAAGAAGTACATTAAAGTTGTTTGGTCCTGTAGAGAGAATAAAATTTGAACTGCAAACAAATATATCAAGATAGCGTGAGGGGATTGCAAGATCCTACTGCTTAGCTCGAAACAGCTTAATGTGATGGGAATGTATGTATGTATGTACCCAAATATTTTACTTTAACTCTGCTGTTCTTCCTCTAAATATCTTTGAACCCAAATGCTCTACCCATCCAACTTGCCACTTATTCAGTTTTTCCTTACTTAAATGGTACCATTTAATTACTGGCATGTTGAAAGGTATTTCATACTTTTAAGTACTAAAATAATTAAAATTAAATTGTAATATTAAACAGGTGGTCATCTGTGAGTGGTACACACATATTTAAATGCCATATTTGTCCACAAAATATTTAACTAGCAACTGCAAAGGATCAGACCTCTATATGTAAGTGTATTTTTCTGGAAACCTCATGTATGCATCCTTTCTTTTTTAAAAATTACATATGGCCAACATGCAGTTGTAGTAGTTTGGAATAAAAAAGGGAGATAGCACCATCTGTTGTTAGAGTACTAGAAATTCAAAACAGTGCTTTCCTCTCTTTTCTTTTTTATGAAATGCTGATCTTGGACCACATATTGATTTAAACTCTTTAAACATGTATTCTCTTTGTACAGCATAAAACTGGATAAAAATAATTTAAATGAATAAAAATATTCTGACTTAATTGTAAACTCATATTTTTCCAGGCTGTTGCCTTATGGCTGTTTAGCAACAGGAGATTATTCTGGCTTAATTGAGGTGGTTTCTGCTTCTGAAACAATTGCAGACATTCAGCTCAACAGCAGTAATGTAGCTGCTGCTGCTGCATTCAACAAAGATGCTCTCTTAAATTGGCTTAAAGAATACAATACTGGGTATGTATAAAATTCTTAACTACTTTACTCTTATGTTTTAGCAACCATCTACTTTTCTGTTCACGTTATTGACTTTTGTGAATCAGTATAGAGGAGTTGTGACAAACTACCTGGTCTTGAATGGTGCATCTGCCCAGGGACACTTAAAACAACCAATCTCCTGTAGTTTTTGCAATCGCTCTTGCTACCCCTATTTGTGTAAGGGAACAGAATGTTGTTAAACATTCTTATTGTCAGACATACATGCAGTTTTCACACATACATTAAGTTGCACAGTACTCTGTAAGCAAACCACATCTATATTTTAACATTTCCCCTGTTATACCCTCTACACTTGCAGATGTATGTGCGTGTGTGTGTGTGTGCATGAACAAATTCTTTCTAATTTCTAGTGTAAAACAAAGAATTCTAACAGCTGTTACCATGTGCAAAGCCAATTCAGTATACTTTATAAAAATTACTAAAAGTTTAGTAATATTTAATTTAAAAAATAGTAGGGTAGAAAGAAAAGTCCATACTGTTATAAATCATTTTCCAGAATTGTTGGGCTTTACAGCATTGCTGCCAAATATGAAAGAAAGATCCAACCTGATTATTGCATTTCCAACAATTTTTTAGAAAATGAATTCCCTTCAGCCATATCATTTTTTAACATTCTCACCACAGTTATGATTTCCTTTAATGTTAGCATTTTTTAATGTTAACATTTTTAAAATATTTGCAATCTTTCAATTGCATTCTTTGAATACAAGTAGTCCTCGCTTAACTTCCATTCATTCAGTGACCATTCAAAGTTATGACAGCACTGAACAAAGGGGCTCATGACCCACCCTCAGAGTTCTGGCTGTTGCAGCACCCTGCAGTGATATGAACAAAATTTGGGCCCACCCACATTTATGACCACCTTTTGGCTGCCCGCCTACCCACTTCCACCAGCTGCCTCCACCACCTGGTCCTGCCTGCTGCTGCACTGCAGACCACTACTGTACCAGCCAGGGCCTTCTTTCATACCACCTTCTTTTGCGTCAGTGCAGCCAGGGCCTTCTTCCATGGTAGAAGGACCTGGGCAGGGTGCGAAAGAAGGCCCCTTCTTTCACACAGCCAGGGCCATCTTTCACAACAGTGCAACCAAGGCCTTCTTTCATGTACTGGCCTTCTTTCACGCCCTGCCTGGGTCCTTCTATTGCAAAAGGAGGCCTTGGCCAGTGAGAGAGAGAAGGCCCCAGCTGCACTGGCATGAAAGAAGGCCCCAGCCGGTGCAGTATCAGTGTGCTGTGGTTGCTGCAGGTGCAGCAGCAGGGGCAGCTGGCAGCAGCGGGTAGACAGGTGACCAAAAAGGCAGAGATAGGGGAGATAGGTGGTTGGGGAGAGTTGAAGTGTAGGCAGTCCCTTACCTTCTTCCAAGAATGGCTTGGATCCGGGTGGGTCCCCGCCTAACAATCGTGTGGGATTCACTGGAAAGCAACTGGGATTGCTGGAACTGCCATCACTAAGTGGAGCAGTCATGTGACATTTTGTTTAATGACCATGTTGCTTAGCGATGGAGTTGCTGATCCCAGTTAGGGTTGTTAAGTGAGGACTATCTGTAACAGTATGGTTCGCATATAGGTATTCCTTCAAGCCATCCCACATTGCAGTTTCATCCCAGATTATTTCATTCTTTACATTTTTTATTCCATTGTTATTCCATTCACTCCTTGTTAAGCCCTCTGATCCTACTTCCAAAGCATTTACTTCCATCAAAGTTCCATGCATTTTCTTTGTGTGTTAATTTTAACCATTCCTTGCTCTTTTCGAATACATTTTTTTCCTTCTATACATATTATATGATACCTTTTCCTCATTCACATTTTTGCAGCATTCTTACATGCATTTTTTGTCATCCACAGCTTAATTTCACTTCATCTTTCCACCAAACATCCATTTTCATACTTCCCATTAGCATAACTCCACATAATTCTGTGGTACCCTGTAATGTATTTCTTTTCACTCTGTTCAAAGCAGCTTCCACGTATTCTTTCCTTACATCCACTTTCTGTAGATTCTATTCAGAGATAGAATCTAATACCTTTTCTTACAGGATTCATATTTTTTCTTCCTGCAGTTGTTCAACTTTTGCTCTCATTTCTTTCATTTCTTCCCTTTCATATCCCTTTTGTCTCAAGATCCACTCTTGTCACTACAAAAAATGGTCTGCCCAGATAGAATGATGAAAGTTGCCCTCAATAGTTATGCTAAATGTATTCAAGTATTGACTGTGAGACACTCTACATCATATATATACACACACACACAGACATACACAAACATACAAACGCACACATAAAATGTGTTTTATGTGTGAACTTCATTGCAGCTCTCCACAGTGTTCTTGCAGAAAAGGAGATTTATAGGTATTTCAAATGGCACAGGTTTCATGGTGTAAAAACACACATGTTGTTTCCTTATTAGTAACTTACAGTGTTTTGTAGAGTTATACAGTCATTGTTATACCAAAATAACAATAAGGAGAACAGACCTTAAATCACTTCAGTGATAGTTGCGTGATGCTGTGAAGATGTCATTAATAGGGAAATGGCTACAGTGTGTCTTGAATTGGTGGGAAGTAATTCCAAAGTTCCTTCTGCATTTGCCATTCCATTTTGCAAGATGATTTCATGCTAATGTGCTTGGAATTATTTTGAGGGGAAACCTAAATGAGTCTCAGCTGTGTAACTAAAGCAGCTCTTAAAAATATATGGTATAAAATGATAAATATCTGGTTAAAATCTATTTAAAAACACTTGTCTTTCCAACTCAGAGAAGATTTGGATCAAGCCATTGAGGCATTCACTTTGTCTTGTGCTGGCTACTGTGTAGCTACTTACGTCCTGGGCATTGGAGACAGGCACAGTGACAATATCATGGTCAGGAAGAATGGTCAGGTAAGAGTCAAGATATTAATGGGGAAATGTTTTGGGGAATTTTCTAGTAGAGATATTGACTCCCTGAGCTCAGAATGATGTTTGCTATACCACTCATTGCCATGTGGCTTTCCAGCATGTAATGATCCTAATAGTGTTTTTGTTAGGAAAAAGTTTTTTCACAGCATATTGTTACCTTCATGATTCCCATAAAATGTGTATCATTCTAAAAATATTGAGACACTTCTTATATGGCATTTTCTACCAAAGATAAAACTTCTACATATTAGAAAAATGAAACTGTAACTTTAAAAAATATTTTTAAAGAGACTTTTGACTATGCTTGTGCTTTGGGAGCATAGAACTTCCTTTGCCTTACACATCTTCTTTGATATGTGACAGTAGCTTCTACCTCAGATATATGTGAAATATTGTATATTGACCTAATAAAAGACGTCTTCATAGTAGAGTGAGCCCTAACCTTTTCAGCTCAAGCCGCTCCTCTCCTCTCTTTGCTTCCTTGGACTAAGTGCCATTCAGGAGTGCCCAAAGTTGTCTTCCTAATGCAGCAATTTTCTCTCTGTGAGTAAGCTGCTACCACCTGCTTTGATTTTTCCCCAATCCTACTTAGCAAACATTACATTATTGTTTTAATTTCATCAAGAAGGATGGCATTAGCCCAAAATATTTAGTGGGATTATGTTTTCTCAGGCAGATATAAACTAGCAAGCAAACCTATTACACTTAGCCAAATATATATCTGAGAATGCCTGCCTAAATGTAGACCTTTTCCTGGATGAATACTTCTAATGTCCATGTAGATATTAAGAACTGAAGATTAAATATCTACCTGGACCAGGAGCTCACCTTGTTCCCAATTCTCTTTTTCCTTTCCACCAACTGACCCAACAGCCACTGCATTTCTTCAAGTCAGATCTTCCTCTCTCTGCCAAGGAGAAGGAATTCAATCCCTCAGTGGTGGTTTAATTGAAAAGACATAGATTATTAGTTGAAAACATGCAATTATTCATCATAATTGAAGAGATGCGGTTGTATTTCATTGTGGGATGAATTTGTTTAAGAACAATAAGATGATAGTGTTCTGTTATGAATAATATGAATATTTTCCCAGAAGTAATAATTTATTCTTATTCTGTTTCGCAGCTGTTCCATATAGATTTTGGGCATATTCTTGGAAACTTCAAATCCAAATTTGGAATTAAAAGGGAACGGGTACCTTTCATCCTGACATATGATTTTATTCATGTCATTCAGCAAGGGAAAACTGGAAACACTGAAAAATTTGGCCAGTAAGTACTAAACTTGTTAGAATAATTTAGTTTTGGTTCACAGTCTTAGATTCCCATGTGATAGAACCAAATTGCTTCTGTACCAAACCTTAGAAGATGGGGGTGGGGTGGGGGAAACTAAGCAGGATTAGACCTGGTTAATATATAGGAAACGACACTGTAGGCTAGATGTGGAAATTAAAAAAGAAATCTAGCAAAGCAATGACAAACCTCTTGTTGCCAAAAAACCCAAATGGACATATTCATGTAGTCACAAATAGCTGAGCTCAACTTGGGAAAGTAGACTTTACATAAAGTCTAGCTTTGTATAAGGAGAATTAATATGATGGATATTATAAAGAAGGTTGTCTTTTGATAGGCATTCTTCTGTGCATAGTTCTATTTTGGTTGTTGTTCTATTAATACATCAGATTATCAGAATTTGAACTACTGTTGAATTTTAAGAGAATTCTTGGGGTCTTTGTGTGTGTGTGTGTGTATATATATACACATACACATACATACATACACACACACACACACATACATACACAAATGTGCATATATGCAGTCCATTATTTTCCCATATAAAATCTCTCTTGCTCATCACAAGGCCATATATTTGGATACTTTTGAAATAAATAAAGTGTCCTTTTTTAACAACAACAACGAAAATATTTTCTTCTAGTTGTTAGAAAACACGCAAAAGTATTGTCATGAATACCCTAGGGACATAAATGAAGGTTGTTGTTAGAACTCAGAGTTAAATGTAATAGTTACACTGGAGAACTGCTTTTTCAAACCATTATTCAGTTGGGGGAGAGATCATATATATAATATCTTTAAATTGATATAGAATAATGAATAAACAGTGGTAATACTGGAAAATGTTATCCCTTCTCTTGGGGAGTAGTTTAGAATATTTTGTTTCCAATAACTGATATCCAGGGTTGCATGAATTCATTCCTGATATAAGTGTCTGCTGCAGTCGCATTTCTGATCCTGAGGAGACTTTATCTATAATTATCCACTTGTTCCATGCCTGTATGAACATTTGTCACTCCAGTTTGGATTATAATATACAGTTTCATTCTATCAAACAACTAGAATTATCATACTCTTATATATGCTGTTGCTAAGTAGGATGTAAACCAAACCATTTGCAAATAAGTCCGTTTCACAATAAATAATCTGTACTTTTTGGCTTGCCCTTTTTCAAAGAGTTGTAAAATAAGAACCAGTGATGGTATAAAACATCAGCTATCAGTGATGAATCTATTTTGTTCATATATTTTCTTAAACCAGATCAGATCAGGGTCCCTGTGCAGTCTGCCTGTTTTTATTGTCCTGGTTTACAGTGTCTGCTTTTATTTGAATTATTTGAATGTTAATATTAAGGTTCCGCCAATGCTGTGAAGAAGCATACTTGATTCTGCGAAGACATGGCAACCTATTTATCACTCTGTTTGCACTGATGTTAACAGCTGGGCTTCCAGAACTAACATCTGTTAAAGACATCCAATATCTAAAGGTACATTTCTAATAATATAGTGATCAAAGTAATATGGGGAGGCCTTATTCAACTCCCTACTTGTTGATGAAACTTACTTGGTAATCTTCAGTCAGATCTTATATTCTCAAAGAAAACAGGGGTATAGATTAAATAAATAATAGTTTATTTAGATAGTCTTGTGCATTTTTTTCTAAATTCTGTTTTAAGCTTTTTCACAGAGTAATTATCTAATATATTTGTGCTATTTCTCATACAAAATTCTCTACCTAGACCAGGAGTATTAACTCCAACTGGTAGCATCTTCCTAAAAACTCAAGCAGAGATCTTCCCCAGCCCTACCACAATATCCATCTCGTCTCCCTAATCCAACCCAATATATTATTGGAATGCTACTCCCATCATTCCCTCTTCATTGACCATGATGGCTAGACCAGACAGGAAATTGAGTTTAGCAGTATCTGGAAGGCATCGTGTTGCCCATTCCTTCTCTTTAGAGACTCTTTAATTTATTTCTTGGACAATAGGTGTGATAACATAGACATATGCACTCTTCCAACAGCGTCCACTGAGCAAGCATGCTTATACATAGTATACATAATTTTGCTTGTTCATTCATCTGAATCCTGAATAACTCTTTAATAAACAGTGTAAAAATAAACCCCTAAAATGTGAACATCAGTACAAATAATGGTGAAGTAAATTATGTTTATTAGGTCCCTTAAGACTTGCTTATGCCAGCAGGTCTGGGGACTCTAGGGGACGGGGGAATTAGTGAGGTGGCTCCCTTATTTTTAATTTCTTTTTAGTCTCTGTTTTATTTTGTTTTATATATATTTTAATGTATTTTACTGTTTTTAGCTTTGTTGTACGCCGCCCAGAGTCATCCATAGTGAGACGGGAGGCTATATAAATTGATTAAATAAATAAATAAATGTTTTCTATCTTAAATCACATCCTTTAGAAAGGAATTTATATCTGGAGCTTTTCAGTTCCTTTTTAAATAACTGATTCTTACACAAAGGGATTGTTGTTGTTAATTTTGGTGTATAAATAAATATGCAATTGATGGCTGATCAGAAGAGCATCATCAAACCTTCAAGAGTATCTTGGTATTACATGAAAATTATTATGCATTAAATT